TACTAGCTTCCATTCTCTTTTCCATTATCACTATATAACCCCAATATACTATAGTGGTTTCCATCTTCTTTGCCATTATCCCAACAATAAACCGCAAACCCTAAACCTTAAACCCTAAAGTAGTATTGAGAATGCGATCGAGGAAGGAGCCGTACAAAGGTGGACAAGTCGATCGGGAAGGTACTCCTCCAAGCATATGGGACATGAAGCTGAGTCCGTGTTAGGCATCCTTCAGAGTTTAGGGTTTAGGGCTTCACAATTTTTGTGGCAGTATGGGCTAGGCATACATCTGCAAGACAGATCCCTTTTCTCTTCTTAGGGGAGTAGGGACTAAGGAAAGTTGCGAAGCCCACGCACTTTGAGGCAGCTACAAAGCGCTACAAGGTGCCTCACACTGAATGTGTCGACCAGTGTGAGAAGTGCACTGGCAAGGGGGAGGTTTCCTGTGAAAAATGCGAGGGCTGGGGCTGGTGGTGGTGCAAATCATGTAACGGCAAAAAGTGGAATTGGTGTTCTGCCTGCAGCAGGGGCTCGCAAAATGCTGCCAGCGGGAAGCAGAATCACAGCAATGCACCGAGCGACAAAGGCAAGGGCTCTGGCTCCAGCAAGGGGACTCTTGGTTTGTTCATGTGCAATCTTGTCAGCGTGTTTGTACTCCTAGGTTCCGGCATGCTCAGCTATCAAAATAATGGTCACTTGTTGGGTTCGCCTGGAATGCCCAATGGGCACCCTTTTTTGAGAACCCCAGTGTGGGTTTTTCTGTCCTAGAGCAGCAGTTGAAGGTCAAAAGGCACTGAGACTGGGTCTATGTTAGGTAACATCTTGTATTTGGGGGGAAGACTAGCCCATGTAGAGGGGACCTTTCTTAGTGACACCACATTTTCATGTTTTAAGATCTAAAGTTTGAAGCATGGCTCAGGTGAAGGGAGGCTCAAATGATGCACAGCTCGAAGACTGCTCTGTCTGTTCAAACAAGGGCTACATCGACTGCAGCCCATGCAAGGGATATGGCTGGATCAAATGCGACAAATGCAAGAGCAGTGGCAACGTCAAGTGCAGCAAGTGCCAGGGGCACGGAAGCATCCTAACCTACAAGCAGCTTGTTGCGCGGCTGAGATCGTGGGTTGAGGGTTCGGGGATTCCCACTTTTCACTTTCTTTCTGGAGTAATCGTAGTAAGAATATGTATTAACAGTAGTAATACTAGCAATATTTATGAAAATAGCAAAAATGGAGAATAGTCATATCAATTCTGTGGCGGACAAGTGATGTGGCTCTTCTTGTTTCATCCATGCGTCGCAGGGTGGTTTTACTGGTGAGGAAGGGGAGTTGGGGAGGAGATGTAGGTGTTGTACCCTCAACCCTAAACCCTAAACCCTAAACCCTAAACCATACACCTTCAGGCCAAGCTCTGCCCCTTAACCACCTGAAAGTTGCACATGGTTTTCATGGGTTTAGGGTTTAGGGTTTAGGGGTGACGCAGGTCGTGGAGTACAGCAACAAGACACGCGAGACGAAGCGGCTTGGTCCTAGAATTGGCTTCCGGGTCTAAGGGTTTAATGGTATAAGGATAGTAGTTTCCATTTTCTATTCCAATATCCTAACATGACCTCAATATACTATGGTAGTTTCCATTTTTCCTTTTCCATTATCCCCTGGAAGACTATTGCCTGGGGTGAGGGTTCAGGATTTAGGCTTAGGGTTGAAAGGGCCCTGTGGTTCAGGATTTAGGGCACAGGGTTTAGCGGCTTATTTGTTTTGAGTTTGGCTCTGTAGCTCCAGAGCTTATTGGCTGATTTTTGTTGTGGCGTCTGTGTAGGTCCTAGTCAAAGATCTTCTGTTCAGTGAGTTCAGGGTACATGTGGGGGTCTTCTCTGACATCAGAAGGAGGGTTCTCATGATGTTTGAAGGGATTGTAAAGGAATCCCACACCTGCCTGCACCACCCTCAATCCCAGGGAGTATGTTTCAGGGTTTAGGGTTTAGGTCATAGAACTGTACAGGTAGCCTCAGTTGTTAAAAGGTTTCCTTCATCAACCAATGCTAAACGCTGCCGGGCACAACAGGTTCCCGGCTCTAATTCCTGCCCCTAATGCCTAAGACCCCCGTAATACCGAACACCTCTTTAGAGGAGCGATACATTTTTGGGGTGGGCATGTTCCATAGTAAGGTGTTGGGAAGCTTGTTGTGAGAGGAAGCAATGAGGGAGGACGACCTGCGACACCGTGGATCCTGGATTCTTTTCTTCTGCGCAAGTTGTAACGATCTCACCAGACCTTTCAGCAAAAGGTGGCTTACATAGAAAACAGGGAGGAAATGGCCTCGTTTGAGGGGAAACTAATCGGAGACGATACGAGCGTTTCTTAAACAATCCCTATATGCAAGTATTCCATTTGTAGTCCCCAAGATAAAGCGAGGGTCTGTGAAGGTAACCTTAAGGCCAGTAACCTTGAGAAGTCCTGAATCCCCTGGTGTGTGTATCCTTGTGGCCCTCGATTGCACCCCAACCCTAAAACCCTAAAGCTGTAAACCCGTAACCCCTGAATCCTGGGACCCTGGGACCCTGACTGATACCCCAAAACCCTGAAATGCAGAAACCCTAGAAGCTTGAGCCGCTTTTTTTGCAGTTTGCAGTCGGCATCATGGACGGTCTTAGAATGTGTAGGACTTTGGAGCTACAACTGCGGGCTCAGGGTTTAGGGCATAAGGCATGGGGTTTAGGGTTGGGAATTTCTGAAGTTATAAAACTAATTGAAGCTTAAGAGGCAGCCAATCTTTTCCATCTTTCAAATAACAGCTTGGTAAGCTTGTCGCCCTAAGCCAGACACAAACCCCAAACGCAGCTCGAATTCACAGCGGCCCTGCAGTTGTAGGTGAAGCAATGTTGAAGTGGGCAATTTACAGCGACCTCACCCTACCTCACCCTAAATGGTGGTTTATACAAGGAATGGAAATGGCCTTGAATTGGGAATTGAACTTATTCTAAATTACCCTGAAGTTACATTCTCATCAGAATCCTTCTCTTTCCTATCGATAAGAGTATCCTACACGGTGGTGTTATGGTTACGACGCCGAGAAGCTTGCGATGCACAACATTGATGGGTAATTCCCATCTGATCGCCGGCAGCTCTCCGACTACTCCCTTTCTTTGAATCGCTAAAGCGCATTAATCTGGAGCAAACAGAGTCCGGAGGGGTTAGGAGGGGCGTGTTTACCAAACAGAGGGTAGCAGGAAGTTACAGGAAATTTCTTTGACACTTCATAAGGCTCTGACACTGCCTAGACATTCCATACATGGTTTTGTCTGGCACCAGGATTCTGAACCCTAAAGACGGAAATCTCAAATTGCATATCCTGAACTGGTCCTGAACCCGAATTCTACATATCCCCTTACATATATATATATATATGTATTTGTATATGTGTACACATCTGTATGTATATGTATACACTACACACATACTTATCCCTATTGAATCCCCGAAGCCGCACGCAGGTGGGGGCCGTCTGGATCGCAGGTCACTCTCGAACATGTCCGCGGCGCACATGGCGCAGCACTGCGCTTCCAAGCGAAATGGGTTGAGGAGGACCTAAATCCTAAGCCCTCCATGGCTCATGTGAAGGATTTGGAGCTTAGGGACTAGGGGGGGGGGCCTTGGTTTTGGGCTGAGGGTCTAAACCCTAAACCCTAAACCGATTTGGGTTGCAGGTTTTAGGGATCCAGGTTTCGGGTTGTGGTTTGAGGCATGCCGGTTCAGAGTTTAGTATAGAGCTCGCCTTTTTGAGAAACCCTTAGCCGTTGACGTAGGGGTCCTTTTTGTAGATTAGTATAGTCCCTAATACTGTCCCCAAGAAGGAACCCATGTCCATTAAAATATATTGCGAGTAATTTCTCAACATTCGGTTCTCTGTGAATCCCAAAACACGAGGCGCCAAGCTCTTATTGCTAAGTAGCCCGCTCAAGCATTCTGAGTTGCTTGGGTTTTTGAGGGTTAGAGACTACGATAGGACCTTAAACCCTAAACTCAAAACCTGCAGGGCTCTGGACTGAAGGTCTTAGGTCCAGTGCTTAGGGCTCGAGGGTTTTTGGACTTCAGGGCCAAGGGCTTCAGGGTTCAGGGTTCAGGGCTCTTGTTGCAGGGGCGAGGTAGCTTCCTGTTTACAATCATAGTGGCATTAGGGTTTAGGGTTTTGGGTTTAGGGTTACGGCTACTACTGGCTCTAGTAGAACAAGGTCATGCATGATCGTAGTATGAACAGTAGTGTTGGTACTTGCAGCCAGAGCCTTGTGCGAAGGAGTTGCCCAAGGCCGCCATCTCAAAAGACAAGAAGGAGCAAATAGTAGCTGGGCAAGGGTGTGCATGGGGTCTTCATTCCAAGCCCTAAAGACCCTACTGTAGGGGCCTAAACAATTACCAATATAATGGTTCCATATTCCTTGTATAATTATAGTATTTGGTACCTCAAATGGACCTCACAATGATATTTGTAATTATCTAGGCCCCTGTAGTAAACCCTAAACCCCTAACCTAAGCCCTAAACAAAGTCCTTAGGGTTTGCGGCTGAGATTATCACTGTCAAGCGAGGTTCGGGGAAGGGTGGGGGTCGCTTGAGGTCTTTACGACCCTACGGAGCTTGTACGGTGTTTGTTGCTTACGAGCGCAACCCTAGACCCTAAAACTTGTTTAGATATCATTTGCAGTGGTAGTTCCCTCAATGTAAGGGAACCCTTATGGACCCCAATATGTTATTACTTAGACTAGAACCCTTGTTACGAGGACCCTCCAAAAAGGTACCCCTACTTTTAAAATCATCCCTCCCCCTCATACTAAACCTTCCTCCACCCCCTAATATTAAATACTCCCAGTATAATATGATATACCACATACTGGGAGAACTTAATATTTGGTGGGGGGGGTTTACTATAAGGGGGACGGGATTAGGAGGGGCAGGGAGCCTGTGTAAGTAGGAGAGGATGCAGGCTACAAGTATTGCCGCCGCATGGGTTTCGCCAAGTTGCATGGTTTTCAGTATGTCCTGCTTACAAAATACCCCCTACAATTCAAAGGGCTAAGAGTCCCTCGGCCCTACTGGCGCATGGGAGTTTATCAAGATTATCATGTCTTCCCCAGTCTCTTAACAATTCCGGAAATCCTCAGGGTCCCTAGAGGCCCCCTTGTTTCAGAGACCCCGTCATGGTGCGTCAAGATGGATCGCGGAAGGACGAGCTGATTTTTGAGGGTTTAGGGTTTATAGTCCTCTTTAAGTAGATAGAATATGAGGTATATGGGGATCTAGTTATAATATACTCAAAGCCATATTCTATCTACTTAAGGGTCACTATAGGGCCACCTTCTTTACACTCAGAAGGGGAATCAGGGAATCCATCCCCATAGTCGCCCGCATGTAGTTCACAAGAAGAACTCGGATCGCACGCTCCCCCATCCTTACTAGGCACCAGATGGCCAACAGGCGTGGCCTGGGGTTTAGGGTTTAGGGTTTAGGGTATAGGGTTTTTGGGGACGGAAAGGGGGCCCTGGCAGCCTGGTGTTCAAGCAATGGAGAGCCCAAATGCCCACAGGCACAGCCAGGAACTTCTTATTGGTGTTTTCTAGGGGCTGGGGAATGTAATCCATATATAATACTATTAACCTCCAGTAAGACTTGTGGTCTCGATTTTGGAGCGAAGTAAATGTTTTCTTGCTCAGGTTCTACAGACCGCTCTTTCGGATGTTACAAATCTCTATCCAATCCCCGTGGTACTATTAGACCCTAGCATGCAATCCCTACAAATCCT